GAGCGCGCCAAGGTGCGTTTGTACAAGTTATATAAATACATGTCCGAGCTGGAGACACTCTCGACGAGCAAAACAACCTGCAGCTCGACATCAGCATCGCCGAGGGCGACATCTACAATGATGCAGGTGCCGCCGCCGACGAAGCCGAAACGCCGCAGCGGGGGGCGCCGCAGAGAAGGGCGGTCACGCCAGCTCCCAGAAGACAGACGAGGGCCAGGGGGGCGGCCGAAGGCCAGGGCGAACGGCTTACGACGCCAAGAAGAAAAACAGCGACGCCAAGGGCGGTGCCTACGCCTTCAAAAACACACCTGCGCGCAGCAGAAGAGAACGCGCGGGAACAGTGTGAAAGGCGAGGCAAGGGACCATGGAAAAACCTGCTACTGCCAGCCCGAGCTGACGAACGATATCGACAACGCTGGGCTGAGGAACGAGAACCTGGAGGCCCTCCGCGAATTGAATTCCCACTGACTTCGAACGCGGCAGCCCTGAACAGGACCGCGGAAGAGCCCGAGGCGATGGTGGCGACCGCAAGGGATGCACCTGAACATCGAGACCACCCAGAGTTTACATATTACGCAGCGGGCTCAGGACCGAGCGGCAGAAGCTCATCGACAGCAACGACGACCGAGCCAGCGTGCAGCAACGCATACGAGCGGCGGACAAGGCTTGCCAAGGGGAAGCAAACATATTTCCGCGTGTCCACCGAGGCCGAGCAGCGCCTCGCTAGCATTTAAGCGCAGCGGTTCAAGGACCGCAACGACAACGGCGTCCCCTACCACATGGAGATGCGGGGGGCAGGTGCCTGCGCGCCGAGAACGAGTTCAGTGGCCAGGAAATGCGCGCAGAGACGACGTTCGGCAGCTTCCGCGAATCATGCCATCAAAGGGTCACCGATGTCGAACTGCTCGTCAGAAGAAGGGGTGCGGGGCAGGCCCAGCGCCGCCAGCAATGCCCCCCGCGCGCGCTGACCGTCGCGAGCACGCATGATCGACGAGCGCGTCGCAACGCCATGAGAGCCGACTGGCAACTGCAACTTATCTTCCAAGGTGCGGGCGTGGGCGCCGTGGGGGAACGTGAGGCGCACTTGCGCGAGGTGCCCATCTACCGGCAGATGGAGGGGGGCCGGGGGGAATGGGAGGACGCGCGCGAGGGGCGCGCCGAGGAGGCAGACGAGGACTAATTGCCAGCATGCGCAACGCGCTGCGTGGCTAGTACAAGAGCGATTGGGCAACGTAGAGACGGTCGACGCGATCGAGAAGGCTCTCTCCATGTAGCCGCCAACCGACGACGAGGGGCCGCGCGCTGTCGCGCCGTCGGTCGACGCATTTCTGTCGCGGGTTTCTGAAGTAGAGGCGGCTTAACCAGCGCAATCGCAGAGCGACCAGATGGCCGGGGAATCTGACATAATCTGACGTATATAGCGCATTGGGATCGTAGGGGGCTGCAGAGGAGCAGCGAGAACTTCCAGAGAGGCAGGCGCTTCATCGGGACAATCTGGTAGCATGGGCTGTGACTTCCCTGCGCCCATTGCATGGGCGCTGGGATTTGTGCTACTCTGGCGGCCGCGCAAGCGCATTGCCTGATCGAGGCTGGCGCGCCCCCCCCGGGGGGAGAGATGGTGGCGTCGCAGCCGCTGAGGAGCTCGCGCACAAAACCAACGCATCACAGCGAAGGTGCATCGGCGCGCCTTGGAGAGGGCTCCCCTTGCCACCAGCTCCCAGACATCCTGCGCCAGCTACGAGGGGCTCCTGTGCCAGGAGAACGATCAAGGCTGTCATCGACCCTGGCGAGCCTCGCCGCGAAGTTCCCCGCGAACCAGAAGCAGCAAACGGCGTCGCGACCAGTGGCGACGTAGCTCAAGCAGTGGGGGCCGCAATGGCAGCCTACTCGCCGTCGCGGGGCAACGCGGGCCCAACCGGGGACCGCGCTGCCTATGGTGAGTCTGGAGTGCCGGAATGTTCATGCAACCCAGACCGGCGCGATCCAGCGCAGCGGGATGATGGCGACCCGCGACCATGCGCGGGGGGCATATCTCAACTGGCAGAGCCGCTCGGCCCACAGCCCAGACAGAGGCCAGCCATGGCATCGTTCAGGCTGTGCGCAAGGCCAGGCAAAGCTCATGGCAGAGGACATGCGGGCGACGCAGTGAGTGCGCGACGCCCGCATCTGATGCCAACTCTGATGAAGCCACTGATCGCTGACCAACCAGCACGGGCGCAGGAGGGGGGCCAGGGGCGACGCGGAGTGCGAGCGAGTTAGGAATGCGGGGTGCCGACTCTTAACCTCTACGACCTCCCGAGCACCTATTGGAGGACGTGGCAGAAGGTCGCAGCCTCGGCGGTGACAACGTAACCCGCGCCCATGCTGCGCGACCTGACACCGTGGTCCTTGCTATCCAGGTCCGCCAAGGACGAAGGCCCCGTCCCGCGCGAGGGGGCCAGGCACTGGGGGGCCCCAACCACGGGCATCAAGCGAGAGAAGCAGATCGCTCCACGATCGTCGTGACGGAACCGATCGCCGATGTATTCAGACGTACCTCTCGGGCCCATCTCACCGCCGACTTTCTATGCCTACGCGGGCCGCCCGGCATTCATCGCGGCCCTCGAGCTAGGTTGCCGAGGCGTCACGGGGCGGTCAAGCGTATCCACTTGTGAACCGATGGCGCGTGACAGACCGACTCGAGCAATCCCGCTTAGGCAGTGCTCACCATCGAGGACGACATCGGATTCGCAGCAAGAGCGACGGATGCAACCTCCACGGACATAAACAAGGCGACCTCTACGACCTCAGAGTTCGCGGCGTTGGAATGGGCATGCGCGTGGATCACAGGCTCACGGGTGCAACAACGCGACAGCAACAGTCCACGCCGACTCCAAAGTTGCAATCGGATTGGCAGTCGGCAAATACAGAATGCGAGCGAACCGCCAACTGGCAGTGCAGACCAAACAGCTGCACCTACTAGCCTCAACCACCAGCAAAACGCACACCGGCCACGTATGCGCCCACGCGAAACGCCCGTGGAACGAGTTTGCCGACTCTGTCGCCGAAAGACAAAGCCCAAGACAAGACAGCAGCCCACAGTCACAATGGGCAGAGGCATTCGACACCACACGCCACAGGAATTGGGAATGGGTCCGCCAAGCCGATTACAACATTAAGAAAACATGCCACGACCTGGCCAAGGCCTGATCGCGGGGCCTCCGACAGCACAGGCGGCACCCGATCATTTTCATTGTGGCAACGAACAAACCAGCAAAAGGCGAACATCGATTTCAAAACGATCACCTTCAACGTGAGAAGCTGCAGGCGCCCATGCAGGGAGGGACCAGCAGCGCCAGAGGAGAAGGAGGAGGAGGAGGAGAAGGAAGAGGAGGAGGAAGTGGAGGAGGTGAAGAAGGAGGAGGTGCAGCAGGAGGAGGAGGTGTAGGAGGAGGCAAACAGAAAGCAAGACGAGAGGGGATAGGATGACGATGACGATGATGATGATGATGATGATGATGATGATGAGGAGGATGATGATGAGGATGAGGATGATGAGGACGATGATGATGATGCTGATGCTGATGCTGATGCTGATGCTGATGATGATGATGATGATGATGATGATGATGATGATGATGATGATGATGATGATGATGATGATGATGATGATGATGATGATGATGATGATGATGAGATGATGATGATGATGATGATGATGATGATGATGATGATGATGATGATGAGGATGATGATGGATTGATGATGATCGGATGATGATGATGATGATGATGATGATGAGATGATGATGATGAGGATTGATGATTGAGGAGAGAGGAGGAGACAGAAAAGGAGGGGAGGAGGAGAAGGCACAAGGAGAACAGAGAGGAGGAGGAGGTGGAGAAGGAGGAGGAGGAGAGGCAGGGGGCAGGAAGGGGATAATGATTTGAGGGAAGGCAGGCCAAAGAATGATGAGACAGAGGGGGAAGGGGGCAGGAGGAGGAGGGGGAGGAGGAGGAGGAGGAGGAGGAGGAGGAGGAGGAGGGAGGAGGAGGAGGAGGAGGAGGGAGGAGGAGGAGAGGGATAGAGTGAGGAGGAGGAGGAGGAGGAGGAGAGGGGCAGGGACAGGAGGGGCATGGGCAGGAGGAGGAGAGGAGAGGAGAAGGAGGAGGGGGGATTTGAAGGAGGAGGAGGAGAGGAGGAAACAGGAGGATTCAGAAGGGGGAGGATGAAGCAGGAGACGGCGCGCGTCCAGGAAGGCAGAGGGGACAAAGCTCCTCACATAATGGCTTCTACACATATGTCATGTTTTTTTTTTTTTTTTTACCTTCGGATTATTTTGCTGTTATTGCCTCATCTCTTGTTCGTTTCTCTCTCTCTCTCTCTCTCCCTCTGTGTCCCCCCTTGTCTCCTGATATATGTATGTAATGCATGTGTTGGTGCTTGTTTCTTTTTTTTCTTCTTTTCTCTCTCTCTATATTTATATATGTATATATATATATGTACAGACAATGCAGTGCCATTCTCTCTATGTGCATAAGCATATCCATATGAATTCCTGGCTATATTGTGCCCTCCTGTAGGTGTCCCTTGGGTTCTTAGTTTCCCCGCTTTTATATAGATATCCTCCTCGTCCTCATCCTTCTTTCTTGCTTATTCCAGTCCTTCTGCTCCTCCTCCAGCTCCCGGTGCTTCTCCTCATCATCCTCTTCCCGCCTCTGTTTTTTTGTGCATCCATCCTTTAGCACCTCTTCATTCTCTCCTGCATCCTCCACCTCCTCTTCCCCTACTTGTGGCTCCGCTCTCTTCGCGCTCCTGGCGCTTCTCATGATATTGCTTTTACTGCCTCGTTCCCTCCTCGTTTTTTGACGGTGTTCTCATGAGGGATGTGGGTGGATTGAGTAGGAGAGGAGGCAGCAGGATAATGAGGGTGAGAGGGAGGGGGACAGGCATGAATGGAGTTGGTGTGGACGTAGTTTCCGGGCCCCGCAAGGATAGCCCGCGCCTCCGGAACGTCCTGCATGGTGGTCGGGCACTCCGACGACAACAAGAAGACGCGCGTGCGACTTCCATCAGGCACCCGGAAGGCTCCCGCTACATTACCTGCAGCATGGGTGCAGAAGAGGTTCGAGAGGTGGGGAAGCATGGATGGAGGAGGAGGAGAGGGGAGGAATACGAGAATATGGAGGAGGAGGAGGAGGGGGAGGAGGATGATGATGAGGAGGAGGAGGAGGAGGAGGAGGAGGAGGAGGAAGAGGAGGAAGAGGAGGAGGAGGAGGAGGACGAGGAGGAGGACGAGGAAGGAGGAGGAGGAGGAGGAGGAGGAGGAGGAGGAGGAGGAGGAGGAGGAGGAGGAGGAGGAGAGGGAGGAGGATGGGGACGAAGAGGTGGCGCCTCCCTGGACGGTGTCCCCCAACGGTGGCCTTTGTTCTCTTCCCCGGTCTGCTCGCGCCCCGCAGACCATCCCGTCCACCTGCCGCGCCATCGTGGGCATCGTCGCCGGCGGCGGCCGCATGGACAAGCCCGTTCTGAAGGCGCCCAGCCCCCCACCCCCCACCACCCCGTGAAGGGCACTCTGGCGCTGGCCGCGGCCGGGACAGTCATCACGACATTGCGGCGGGGGCGACGGACGGCGCCGGTGTCGACGGCGGCGGCGCCAGCGACAGTGGAGGCGTCGGCGGCGGCGACCACGCGGCGGCGGCGACCGCGCAGCGGCGGCGGCCCGTCGGGCAGGCGGGCAACAACTTCCACAAGTACCGCGTGAAGCGCAACAGCTGGCCCAAGGCCCCGCCGCCCCCGGGCCGCGCCCCTCTCCCCCCCCGCCGCGGCCCGCCGCCCCGCCGGTCGTGGCTGCCGTCGTCGCCGTCGTGGCCCAGCAGGTGTGCAGGCGTGGGAGGGGAGTTATTTTCCCCAATTAGAGCTGTGCGTGGCCCGTCTAGCTTTTATAGCGGAAGAGGTTCGCTCTCGCCCCGCCGACCAAAAAAGGTGCGGGAGGGGAGGGGCGAAGGGGCGGCGACGGGGCGGCCGTGGGAGGGGCGGGGTGGATGCTGCAGGGGCTCCACGGCGAGCTTGCCTGCAGCAAGGCTGCCGGCCTGGCCTCCCCGGGCGTGCGGGGTGGCCCCTCGAACCTCTGCGGTGACCAGGGCTGTCCGGGGGAGGGCCCTTGCCCTGCGCAAAGGTGTCACAGAACCGCCTTGCCAGGCACCCAGCGCCTGTTTCGATTCTCCTGCGAATTCGCGCTTGGTCACCCAGCGGCAGTCGCGGCCTTTTGCGCAGCAAGGAGGTGACAGCCAGGCGTTGTTCCCACTCCTAGCGGTCCGTACCGACAGTACAGCACTGCTACCGTGGTGAGGCCACTGCAGGTTTTACACGTTTCCCGGGCCGGCAGGTCGGCTTGTCAGATTGAGGGAAGGGCCGCTATGTGTGGTTCGACCAGCACGAGGACTACGCAGTGCTCCGCGCAGCGTGAAGGCTTGCCACGTGCATGCGGGGGGGACCACGGCCGGCAGGCTCCAGGGATCCCACGTGGTCCCTGATACTCCCGCCGTCCTGCGTCCTGTGGCCGCCAGGCCCAAAGGACCCCGAGTGGTCCCTGCGGGTCCTGCAACGGCATCAAGATCATACATGAATAATATAACAGTGCAACAATCACATGGATAATACCAGGCATCAGTCAAGCGCACCAGTAGCATACACCACGGTTACACCAACAACACACCAATCGCAAGCATCTCCCAAATACTCATATCATCCCAGTATCCGACGTCTAGAGCACACACACACGCACCGATAACATACAGCAGTGGTAGGCTTTGACAACGCACATCAAGACCAGGCACCAACAACACACCTCAATTTGAGGGTTTCTCCGAAGGGCTTAGGCGACCAGTTTCTCCTCCTCCTCCTCCTCCCTCGTCGTCGTCCTCCTCCTCCTCCATTTCCTCCTCCCCCTCCCCCCCCCCCCCCCCCCCCCCCCCCCCCCCCCCCCCCCCCCTCCCCCCCCCCCCTCCCCCTCCCCCCCCCCCTCCCTCCTCCTCCTCCTCCTCCTCCTCCTCGTCCTTCTCCTCCTCGTCCTTCTCCTCCTCCTCGGGTCGCCTACGGCCCCGGGGGAAACCGTCCAACCTGAATATCATTATGACAGGCGTCATGGCGTCAAGCCGTCGGCACATCTAGAACTGGTACCGGTAATAGACATCCATAACAGAGCAGGAACCGAGACCAAGCACGTGCATCAATATCTTACCATGTGTAACCTACCAACACACACATCAATAGCAGACACGAAGACCACACATCAATATCATACATCATCAATATGCAAAAAGAGAAGGCCTCTTGATCCCATGTTTTCAACCGTGACCAATAACATACATCCGACGCCTGTTCTTGATGTTTCGTCGCCTGCGTGCGTCAATAACAGTCAGCAGTGACAGACACCAGTAGCGGCGTGAACAAGTCTTTCTCGCCATTGCGTATGCAGTCGGGGGCTGGGGCTTCAACCGACTTTCACAGCACATGCTGTATCAGTTGGAGGGGGACTATTTCGAAAGATGGCGCGGTTCTTAAAATGCAACATGCAGAGCGTTCAATGCTGCACATCGCGAGCCGCAAGATCTGCTTACCGTTGCTGGAGGTATTTGGGGAGTAAGCCCGCACTTTTGCTAACTAGTCTGACGGAGTATTCGGACATGGTGATCGGGCAGGGGGGATGAACCGACGGTGTAGTCTCAGTCTGCTATGCGTTATCTGCCTGCTGGTAATCGGAAGGAGACGGAAAGTTGCACATGCATGGGGACAGTCGTTCATCGAGACGTTCGGTGCGGAGTGGATATACCTCTTGCGGGCAAGGTGGGAGGACTCGCGGGAGGCGTTCATCTTCGGCGTTCCCAATCGCGTAAAGTTGGGGAACAATCGTGGCGATGGGAACGAAGTGGATGATCGACGAGTGCCGAGAGCTTCGTCTTCTGGCGCGCGTCGCGCGCGTGGCGCCCGCGGCTTGTGAGCTGGTCTTGCCGCTCTGCGGAAAACAAAGCTTTTCAGCTAGGCATCAGTGAGATTTCTTGTTCACGGTCAACTGGGTGCAGGGACGGCGGAATTGCAACAATCTTCGTTTTCAACGACGTATCTATGGAGGCTTAGAGGGGGTTTTGGCAGTGTGCCGTGCTGGAGGAGCTTATCGAGCTGAGCAGAGGCGCTCGTGGCCTCTGCATGCCAGTCGTGGCCTACAGTCAACCCGCACAGTAAGGATGAACGACTTTCCAAGGTTACCGTTGCACTCTTTCCCCGTCGGCCCATCCTTGGCCACTTTCGCTGGCCGCGCCCCGCCCCGCTTGGCCACCACCGTGTCAATGTTGAGCCACACGGTCAATGCCTCGCTCTCCCCGGGCTCTGCTGTGTTCCTGCTTGTTAGCATGTGTCACGTGTGCGGGGCTGCACCGTCAGTGCCGCGCTCTCCCCTGGCTTTGCTGCGCTCTTGCTCTCAGCGCGCACCGCCAGAGGCGGCGGAGAGCTTGAGAGATCCATCTCCAACAAAAAGGCCCTGCAAGGTCTTTTTGCACCCTTACAGTGAGCGGCTAAAAAAAGGAACACTTCCTTTTCAGAAGGGGCTCGGTCGTTCCTTAGGCTTGCATGCGATATTCATCATTCCTTAATTCGTTATTTGTTATACATCGTTCCTTCTGCGTTACCCCATGGAAAAAAAAGGACTTCGTTCCTTATTCGTCGTTCCTTGGGTCAACGCCTCGACTGTATCCGATAAGGGTGCAAAAAACCCTTCTGCGCCCTTCTCGTGCGTCCCTCTTGTGCGGGGCTGGCTGCACCCGCAAAGGGGGGCCGCACGCTCGGCGGCCGGAGCTGCGGCGCGCGGGCACGTCGGTCGGCTCCTCTTTGTTGGTCGCCTCGCGCGCGCGCCGCCCCCCGCAGGCGCGACCTCGCTCGCACGGCTCTGGAGCCAGGCGAAGGCAGGCGAGCCCGCGGCTGCTGAAACGGAGCTCCGGGAAGTTCTTGATCTCTTCCGGGAGGCAGCCCGTTCATTCTTGAGCGCGCTGAGCTTTGTTCTGGGGATCTGTTGTTTTTCTCTTCCGGGAAGGCCGTTTTAGCAGCCACGGATTTGCCAGCCCTCGCCCAGCTTCCGAACAGCGTGTGGTGCAGCTGCCAACCCGGGGCAGACGCATACGGCTTGTGTTCGGCGGCGAGCCCAGGGGGGAAGTGAGAGGGGGCGGGCCTCCTCGGAAGGCTCGCAGGTCTCCCGCAGCCTTCTGGGCAGTCTCCTGGGCCTTCCCCGAAGACTCAGCCCTGGCATCGCTCGGACATGTGCATTTTTTCCCGGCGAGAACCATCGAGGAGCATCCTTGATCATTTGGCCAAAAAACCACGCACGAAACCGAAAAAAACACAGGGAATGGACGTCCGAGCGATGGCGAGCAGCAGGCTTCTCAGAGGACGCGAGGGCTTTGAGAAGTCCCGCCGCCTCCGAGGAGGCCTTCTCCTCCTCGCCGGTCCCCCCTCTCACCCGCCGCCGGTGTGTGTGTGTGTGTGTGTGCAGAGGCGGCGGCTCTCGGCCAGGGCAGCTCGTGGAGTGGGGCTCGGCCGAGGCGGGTGGTCTGCAAGGCCGAGGAGGAGGAGGAGGAGGAGGAGGAGGAGGAGGAGGCGGAGGAGGAGGAGGAGGAGGAGGAGGAGGCGGAGGAGGAGGAGGAGGAGGAGGAGGGATAAAGGCGAAGTTGTGTTCTTCTCGCCAGGAGGGCACCGCCAGCCTGGACGGGTGTGATCTTCGGATAGCTGTTCTCCTGATCGTGCGACTGAAGGGCCCTGCGGTAGGGAGGGAAACAATTAGTGAACGCCCCCCCTGCCCCCCAAACTCACAGTTGGCACGCGGGGGGGAGACTGCGGTCGAGGTGCAACTCATCAGACCCACCGCCAACTTTGAACATTGGGGGGAGGGGGAGGCGTTCACAGATGAATGTGGCATGAGTGTTCGCTATTTTTTCCGAGGCCGTATGCACAGCACGATCCTGGCAAGGGGGGGCCCAAGCCCTGCACCCAGGATCGGTGCATGTACATCCCTAGCAAAGGTGGGAAGGCGTATGCACCGAGCTGGGGCCAGGATGGGCCCTGGCCAGAATCGGTGCATGTGCATAGTTCTCTTTCCTCGACCTAAACGGTCAAAGGGTCCTTCGTCCTCGTCCTCCCCTTCCACCCCCTCGCTCTGCTGCCCTCCCTCTTCTCGGAGGTCCGCGGCTGCGCGATGAACCCGGTCGAGCACCCGCTCGGAGGAGGCAACCACCAGGACGCCATGTTTCGCCAGTCGCTGAGCAGGAGGAGGGGGAGTTTCAAAGAGGAGGAGGAGGAGGACGACGACGACGATGGTATGGGGGGGAGGAGGGGTCAGGGCCGAAGGGGGAGGGGGAGGAGAAGAACGGTGAGGAGGAGGGGCGAGGGTGTGAGGAGGAGGACGAGGACGAGGAGGAGGCCTCGAGTAAACCCAGGGAGCGTCAACGATGCTTATTACAGCGCACCTTCTCGTCCACAGTGCCCTCATGTGTCCTTACAGATGTTCACTTTCACTGCGAGGAGCGCCCTCTTGACAGATGAACTCCCCGTGTGCCTGCTGCTCGGGTGGGAGCACCGCCGTTCTGTTGTTGCAGCCGTTGAGAGCTATGGAGGGAAACCGCGTTCAAGTCATCCATCGGGAGCTCCAGGCCCATGTTGAGCGGGGACCGCCCTCCATCAGTGTGGCTGTTGCGAGGATTCGCATTTCGGGCAATGTCAGATGAGAGCGTCTCAAGCGAGAACCCTGTCGTACATGAGCCGCCCTCCGTGCGTGCACATGCTGGGTATGGTATAGTCTTCGCACCATGACAATCGAGAAACTATGACGCGATCTTTTTTTCGAGCCAGACACGTTTTCGACTCTCTTCGGCCGTCTTGGGGCATTCTTGGGCTGTCTTGGGGTTGTCTCAGGGTCGTCTTAGGGCTGTCTTGGGGCTCTCTGCTGGGCCTTGGGGGCCGTGTTGGAGAGATCTTGGAGGCCTCTTGGGCCGTCTTGGGCTTTCCGAAGCCTGAGGAGGCGAGAACTTGCAAACCATCGAAACACACACTAGGACACATCATTGAATTCGGCCCCCTTGGGGCCTCCTGGGGGTCCTCCTGGAGCCCTGTTGGCGCGTATTGGGGTCTCGTTGGCCGTCTTGAGCCGATATTCTGCCGTCTTGGAGGTATAGTGGGGTCGTTTTGGATTCTCTATGGGCCATCTTGGCCGTCTTGGAGGCCATCTTGGCCACCTTGGTGGCAGGTAGTCGTATGTCAGGTTTATGTGCTGAAGTCTTTTTGGGAACCTTCTGAACGTGCCAATG